AAAAAAAAAAAAAAAAAAAGCATGTAACAAAATCATTAACTAGTTCAGATAAATGTCCTCCCCCACCTTCATCTTCACCCCAGGAATGTAAATGATCAGTGCTATGTTGCTTAGATTTACTTTCAAAGAGGGTTGTGTGGACCAGGACAGCTACATAAACCTTACTCATTTTTTTTCTACCTGGCTCCTCTCTTTCCAGTTGTTGAATACACATTCAAGTTGAGCTTCCAGAGCCACAAGATGTAAACGTTCAGATTCCATAGATTGAACAATGTATGTTGATACTTAAGGAATAAGTAAACTTTTTAAATGCTGGACACATACAACAGCAAGTGCTACATTGCTCTTAGTCCACTTCACTGCAAGTGGTTTTCAGACCTACCGTATCAACTGAATGGATATACAGCTTCCAAGTTTTCCTCTTTTTATCTGTGACACAAAATGAAGTTCCAACATTGGCACAGAGAAAAAGGGAGCATTTATAGAGTACTTTCTAGCATATGCCCATGCACTTCATATATATTCTCTTTTTATCTTCATTAACCTATGAGGCATACACACACACACAATTTTTATATATGCATTTTTAGGTGGCCCGGGGATTGAACCATGGGCCTCATACATGCTAAGCACATACTCTTATCACTGAACAACACATTCCTAACTCCTGAAATATGGATTATCATACTATTATAGAAAGGAAAAAAACTTTTTTAGTTTAAGTAACTTTCCAAAGGTCACAGAGTCAGGATTCAAAATCAGATCCATTTGACTGCACCACCTCTGTGGGGGGAATGGGTGTTTGCTAAAAGTACAGTATCCAAAAGCTAACTACCAATTAAAGGACAGTCCACATGTACATAATTAAGAGCCACCATGTAATAGCAGTTTCGTTTTCCCAGATGAAAAGTGTTAATTTAAAAACATTATTGTCCTTGAAAGCCAAACTAGAATAGCTAGTGCTTTAAGTGAGGCAAACCTTTTGTTAATGGTACAAGAATCCTTTATAAACCTCTGTGAAATCTAAGAAGGACGCATGGACTAGGATCAGAGTAACAGAGACAAGTTTCACCAAAAGCACAACTGAAGGGCTGGGAATTTAGCTCAATGGTGCCTCGCAAGCTCAAAGGTCCTGAGTTCAATCCCTGGTACCACCAGGGAAAACACAGACAAACACACACACACACACACACACACACACACACACACACACACACCCCTGATATTAGACCAGATGGTCAGATTCTAAGTCTAGAGTTCTTTAAACTCTGGATACTCCATAGAGGCTGAGAAAAACCAATTCTCTAACATCTTCATCACTATCTTCCAAATCATTTAAGTTAACCCACCATCTTAAATTTTAGTTAATTTTTTTAACTCAACTTGTTCAGTGTTTGAGACTTTTCAAACTGTAGTATTTCTAATGCCACATAAGAAAGTAAAACATTTATCTGATTTTGTACATGAAACCTGAGTCTGCAATGGACATTTTCTTAAAAGAGTCACAGATACTCTATTATAATAATATTGCAGCATCTATAGCATATTTATGTATTTACTTCCAAAGTGTTTTCATACCCATGCCTTTTTTAAAAATTTATCCTTTTTGGGCCGGGTATTTGGCTCAGTGGTTCTGCTGCCTGCCTCACAAGCGCAAGGACCCGAGTTCTATCCCCAGTACCAAAAAAAAAAAGACCCTTTTCTGTAGTTACAGGAATCACTGATACAGTTTAGATTGGAAATGTGTGTGAGACAGACCCCAGTCTCTTGCTTTACCTCTGTCACTTCCCACCCATGAGATGAGTGGATTTGTTTCACCACACATTCTTGCCATGGTGTGCTGCCTCCCTCAGGCCCCAAAGCAACAGGGCCAACCACTGCAGATTGGAACCTTCAAAACGGAGAACCAAAATAAACCTTGTCTCTTTACAAGTTGATTATTAGCTTGGGTGTTTATTATAGTAACCGATGACTAAAACACTGCTCCCCCTTGAAAGACAGGAAAAGAGGTGAAGGCAGTACTGGAGACCATTCTCAAATTGTAAATACCATTTTCCAACAGTGTATACATCTGACTATCCTCAACTATCACATATGAGGAAGGGCTTTTTCCTCCTTTGTTTGGAGACAGCCCAGCAGATCCTCCCCATAATAAAGGCTTGTATGGTTCTGGTCTAGTCTGGTCTGGTCTTGGTTTTCGGCTCTTTTTACCTAACATATCTGGTGCCAAGACTCTGGTGGGCAAGCAGTCCATTAAGTGACAATTCCCTGCAGGCTGGGATCAACTGGTTTCAGCCACCTCCTCTGGACCACATCTGGTGAGCCAGGACCTCCTTGGGGCTTTCCACCTTTGCCACTGCTGACAACTCACATCCACACTGGTCACCGAATGCAGGGTAAGTAGGTAGTTAGTTTCCCTGTACTTGGGTCCTCTGACCGTGTCCCTGGGGGATACCCCATAGGCCCAACTCCTCTCTAGGGACTGGCTCAGGGAGTATCAAAAGAGATGATATGTTCCACTCTTTTGCCCTCCTCCTAGGGAACTAACTCCTCCTTAACCGCCCTAACTTGGGCACCCAACAATCCAAACCCCCTCCCTCAATGCCTCTTGGCTGTCTCCTGGCACAATTTCATCCCCTTGATCCATTGAGACCCGACTTCAAGCCAAATTGACTTATTTTTTATTGCAACCAAGTTTGACCTTGGTATAAATCAGATAATAAAACTCAATGGCCCAAAAATGTCACTTTCAATTTTAACATAATGCACAATTTACGCAATTTTTGTCAACACAATGGCAAATAGAAATCCCCTATCTACTACAAGCCTTCTTTCTCGCCTCTCCCTGTCAAACCTGTTCAACCTCTCAGGTACTTCTAGCCCAAACACCGTTCTCCACCCCTCCCCACTCCCACCTTCCATTCAGCTGATCACTCACCACTCATACTTCTCCCACTCTATAACCCAGCCAGCTCTTCTGTCTCCTCGCGCAGCCTCCTCCGCCATCTTATGAACCTTCCTCATCTCTGCCATCTTGTGTTTCTCCACCAAACACCTGCACTCTCCCTGCTCCTCCAGGCCCTGATAAACAGGAGAATGAGTTAACAGCCACTTCTCTGCATGCTCTTCCTTCCCCAGCTTCCTCAGAAGAGGAAAGCAAGACTGCAGAAAAAAAGTAAAATCCTCTCCTGGCCCTGCCTATTTACCTATTGTTTGGCAGGCTACATTACCAAGAAATTCCATCGGTCCCTACTGTTTTCTACATAAATTTTGGAAAATAAAATATAAGGTTCCAAAACAATTCAAAGAAAATGTAATGCTTAAGACTGGAGCTCAAAGACCTAATGTTAGGTTACAGCCCAGCACCGGCTACAGACTTGTTTGCTCCATGGTAAAATCAGCTGCAATGTCCTGCCAGGCACGAAAATCTTTAAAAAAATAAAAAAAACAAATTATAAATTCTGGCTAATTGACAAATGTACCTTTCATCTTCAACTTAATGTTTGATTAGTTTTGGTTTCCAGATGTTTTATTGATGTATTTGAAACATTTCTTTTACATTACAAATTCTTAAATTTTAATTATAGGATTAACTTATCCTCTCTACTTTCTGCTTTCAAATTTCTGACAATAACTATAACAAGATTATGCTACTGTTATAAAGTGCTTTTACTCCTGATTTTAATTACAAGAGATCTCTGTTAATTGATCTGTGAAAGTTTTGACTATTCTTAATTTTAAAAGATACTATAATTCAGTTGGCCAAATATATTTGAGTGCACTCTAGTTTCATAAATTGTCGTTTGTGTCTGTCCAATTGTTTGAAAGTGTTTGTCCAATTATATTTTTTGATCAAAATGACATCAAAGATACAAATAAATTGTTAATTTCTACAATTTACAGGTTAAATAAAAAATAGTCAAGATAATTAAATATAAACTTTTAGGTTTGCACAGACTCCTGTCCGTGAATAAAGAAGCAGCTGCTCAGAAAAATTTATTCTGGTCTTTGTTCACTAATGGGAGCCCCAATAATTTTCATAGCCTTATGGGAAGATATGTTGTTATAAAACATTTACATTGGTTATCATCAAAGGGTTGAGTTCTAAATATGTTATTGTGATACATTTAAATGGTCATCTTCAAAATATATTATTTTCTGTGGAAAAATGAGTTATTAAAAAAGATCCTTTTGGTACCAGGCACACTATAGAACATAAGGTCTCAAAAAATAATTATCATTACTACTTTTCTAGTGTACAAAATATATTCATGTTTTCTGACTATACAGGTCTTCCAACATATTGTTTAGGACAACAAGCTTCTGATCCAGGTATTCACCCTTCTCTTTTGCTCCACCTATTTATGATTACAGGTACATTTGTAGGCCACCTACACTTTTTCCTTAGAAGGCATCCTATCAAAAAGTAATAACTTAAGTAAGAGTTTCCATTTTTTTATATGTTTTTGGGTTTTTTTGTTTTGTTTTTTGTTTTTGGTACCAGGGATCAAACTCGGGTCCTTGCACTTGTGAGGCAGGCGGTGGAACCACTGAGCTAAATAAATCCCTGGTCATTTTTTTGTATGTTTTTACAGGAGAACAAATACATTTAACAATGACTATTTTATACTAAGATACATATCTAAGTTTATGCAAAGATAATGTCATCATAATTATCATGCTAAAATACTGTTATTATGTTTGGCTCCTGATTCAAAGATTTTTCTGTTAATATTTTACAGGAAATCAACTACTAGAACAACCATGACTAATAAAAATAACAGTCCTGTAACTATATTTTAGATTCCAGGGTGCTTGCTACCCAGGATAAAGTTAAGCTCACTGCTCCTACTGTACTACTGATGTCACTGATCTTCTCTTCTGGGTGTTCAAACCAC